GGCACTGTGCCGGAGTTATGCCACCACTGATGTGGGCACTTCAGTGGAGCCTCTCTGTCCTATGATGGTAGAGTAAATAAATCTGACCAAATTTCCCATTTGGGATAACCAAAAACTAGATTAAAAAAAAAAAAAAAGATTAAACCTTAAAAATAACAAGCTGGTCATGGCGACACACATCTGTAATCCTAGCCCTAAAAAGGCTGAGGCAGGATGGCCACGAGTTTGAGGCTACGAATCTGAGTCCACACGGGGCTCCACAGTGAGTTCAAAGCCAGCAGAGCACTGTTTTAAAATAACATAGTGAAGGGCCTGCCAAATAGTTCAGTGGATTAAAGGGTCTGCTTAGGCAGGTGCAAGGGACCATGGTTCAATCCCCAGCACCACACGCCATGCCAGCCTTGCCCTCAGGTTGGGCCAAGCCAGCCAAAATAAACAAAAAACTGGGGCTGGTGAGACAGCTCAGTGGTCTAAAGCACCTACTTAGAACAAGCTTAGCAAAGCACGGGGACCGCGGTTCAATCCCCCAGCACCACATGCCAGCCAGCCCCGCCCCCTGGTGGGCCGAGGTGGCCACACACACACACACACACACAAATAAAATTTTTTACAAAAGAACACAACAAACTACATAGTGAGACCTTGCCTCAAAATTCTTAAAAATCACATGAAAAGCCTGGGGATGTAGCTCAGAGTGAAGACCCTGGGTCCAATCTTTAGCGCAGAAATCCCTTTACTCCAAGGGGTCCTCCTAGGAGTAAGCTGACAAGTGGGGTCAGGGAGGTGTGCCCAGGGTGCCCTCTGGCTCCGCGGGGCGCGCAGAGCCTGATGCGGCCTGCTGCCAAGGCCTGCACATTTCAGGGACCAGTGTGCCCCGGAGGGAGAAGTCCAGCCACCCAGCCTGAGGTCAGGACAGGGTGAGGATGGCCCTGTGGCCCAGAGAGCACATGAAGCCCGGGCGGCAGAACAAGCGGCTGTCTGAAGGTGCATCTGGGATGTCGACTTAATGGCTCCATGCACAGCACCCCCAGCCCTTGCACCCTGCGGCTCGCTTCTCCAGGCGATCTTCCTACTTCAGCCTCCTGAGTGTTGGGATAACAGGCTTGTGCCACCAAGCCTTGAAAAATATGTTACTGTACAAACAGAATAAAGGGCGCACATGGTTGTGCGTTTCCCTTGTCCTGGAGGTGCTGAAGTAACCAGGGCCGTGCTATACCTTTCTCAGGCCAGGAGCAATTTGCGTGTTCCTGGACTCGGTCAACTACCTCCACCCGCTGGACTTGAGTTCCCTTCAGAAGGGCATGCAGAGACGGACCTTAAATTAACTGGGCATCAGTCACGAGGCTTCCGTGCTTATCCGACACAGCTGCTGATGTGGTCACGGGGCTCCGCGGACACTCTGCCAGATACCGCCCAGCAGTCATTTGTGGGGGGCCTGCTAGTCTAGCACCTGGAGAGGCTGAGGCAGGATTGCAGGTTGGAGTCCAGCCTGGGCAACTTAGAGATTCAGTAGGACCCTGTCTCAAAATAAAACATTTTTTAAAAGGCTGGAAATGCAAACCAGTGCAAAAGCCCTGGGTTCAATCCCTAGGACCACAAGAAAACAGGAAGAAAAAAGACAAAAAAAGAGGGAAGAAGAGTTCACGTGTCTTCCTACTAGACCCAGGGTCGGAACCTATTCCAGCCCATCCTGCCAACTCTGGTACACAGAACATGTGGTTTGTGGGGTGAAGGTCCCCTTTTGATGGCTAAAATGTCTAGTCTGGAGGGCTTTGACTTCTTTTTTTTTGAGACAGGACCTTGCTGTGAAGTTCAGGCTGGCCTTGAGATCACTATGTAGCCCAGTCTCCAACTTGCAGTGCTCTTCCTGTCTCAGCCTCCCAAGTGCTGGATTTGCAGGCATGAGCCATCATACCTGGCTGAGGCTTTGACTTCTATGCTCTGAGCTACACCTAGTTTTGGATTTTCTTGGGGGGCGGAGCTCAGCCCACCCTAGGGGCAGGGCTGGCGTGGCATGTGGTGCTGGGGACTGAACTGTGGTCCTTGCCTAAACTTGTCTAAGCGGGTGCTTTAGATCACTGAGCTACCTCGCTGGCCCCAAGTTGTTCGTTTTTTTCTGAGACAGGCTCTTGCTATGTTGCCCAGGCAGGCCTCCAACTCATGCCCTCTCCTGTCTCAGCCTCCAGAGTACCTGGGGTTACCGCATGGGCTACCACACTTAACTGTCTCCTGGTGCTGACACGATGTTCCTCAAGGCTGTGGACTCATCCAGCAAGCACGGGGCTTGGTGGCCCCACAAGGCTGTCCCTGCTTACCGTGTTTTCCCCTCTTCTTTCCTGAGGGAAAAGGAAGAAAGGGACGGCCCTGTGGGTCCTGGGTGAGGCCCATGCTTGTCAGGGAGCTCACACTGGGTGGCTGGGGAGGCCACAGGGACCCACCCCAAATGGCCCCTTGCTGGCCCCCAGCTGAATCCACGGCACACAGATCTCTGAAGCTCTCAGCCCCAGCGACCTATCGCCCTTAGCACGGGTCCCGGGGCACCTCGGATTTCAGCATGCGGACCACAGCCGCGGCTTCACCCGTTGCCTCGTTGGTTTTCCCTTCACAGATTTCCCACTGCTAAGGACCCACTTGCACCCTGGAACAGGCTTTGCGCACTGTACGCTGCGTGCAACACGCCTTCTGCTTCCTGGAAAGACATGGGGACCTTCGTCCTGATCCCAGGGGGTCACAGCAGCCACTCTGCTAGACTTCAGAGCAAGAAGGGCTCAGTTGGGTGGCTTTCCTTGCTAGGGACAGTCAGGGCCTGGACTTGGAGACTTGGGGTCTACAGCGTTAGAACCACCCAAGTCATCCCAAGTGCCAAGGCATCAGGGTCAGTTGCTATGGTGATCCCCCACTTCCAGCTAGGCACCCAGGCTGTCCACTCAGCTGTTTGCCAATGCCCAAGGGGCTGCTCGCTCTGCCCCGGCACCTGTGGTGAGCCCTGCCACCCTCGCCTGCACCTTCCTGGCAAGGCCCAGAACACTAAAATTTCTCGAGGGCTTTCTCAAGAGGTCCTGAGCACCCCGATGGCCTTTTGATCATATTTGCCACTGAGCTACAGGAGCTCGGCAGCCAATTGCCGCTCTCTGCCAGGCTGCTAGGAGGGAAGACAGCGGAGCTACTCTCCTGTCACCAGCACAGGGCAGCACAGTGGCACAAACTTGTCATCTCAGCTACTTTCCAGGCTGGGGCAAAAGGATCACAAGATTGAACTCAGCACAACTGAGCAAGGGTTTCCCTCAAAAACTAAAAAGGACTGGGATGTAATCCAGTGGTACAGCACCCAGGGCTTAATCCCTAGTACATGAAAACAAGGGGGCTCTTTGGGGAGTAGACGCTTACCCCAGGATGGAGGTCTGGACAGGAAATTACCAACAGGTGACATACTGACAAGTACAGTCCTCAGCCCGGTCCCCCAAAAGCTCGGGCACTGGCCCTCCCGGGTTCATTACCTGCCTTTAATTTTTTACCACTCGGGATCATTTACCATGGTTTCTCTTAAACCTTCAAGTATAGAATAAAATTATCAGTGTAATTACAAAATGAAAAAGCGTAAGAAAAAAAAATGAAACTCAGATTCCCAAAGATCTTTAATGACGCAGAACTTCATATACGAAGCGTTGGACAAAAACAGTACACAGACCAGGACACAACTGCATAAAACACACAAGTAAAAGCTGCCAGAAGCAGGGCTCCGGTCAGTGTGCAGTGGTCGGCCGTGCGCCCCCTACAGACGCAACCCGAAACTTTAAAAGCCATTACCAGGGTGGTGGAAACGAGAGAGACACCAGTGAGTCTGCAGGACAAGCAGCACTCAGGAGGCTGGGCAGGACTGCTGCAGATTCGAGGCCAGCCTGGGCTGCAAAGTAAATTCAAGGCCAGCCTCAACTGCATAGTGAGATCCTGTCTCAAAAAATAAAAAATAATTTTTGAGTCCTGAATTCCTCCCTCTACCCAAAATTAAATTTAAAAACCACCAGCATCTGCCCCAGGCATGTGGTACACACCTGTAAGCCCCATACGTGGGAAGCTGAGGAAGGACCACAGTCCAAGGCAGCATGAGCTACGGAAAGGGACCCTGCCTCAAAGACAGATAAAACTGCACACAGTGGGCAGCAAGATGGCTCAGTGGACTAAGTGCCTGCTCAGGCAAGCGCAGGGACCGGGATTTGATCCCTGGCACATGGGCCCTGATCCCCGGGGCACTGAGCCTGCACAGACAGGGCATGGTGGCACATGCCTATAATCCCAGCACACCTGCACCCCCAGCCCTGGGGAAGCTGAAAACAGGAGGATCACTATGAGTCTGACCCTACACCAAATACATAAAAACCAACCAACCCAGCACAGCAAAAGGACCCGAGTCCTTGCACTGTCTGCCAGGCAGAACCTGGTGCCCAGCCCCAATCTCTGAATCCCAGGGTTCCCCCACAGCCACCTGACCACAGCCAAGGGCTCCCACTTTCCTTAAGGCACCACCGACTGGAAAGCTCGGCCTGCAGCACCCCACCACAGAAAGCCTCTAGAGATGGACTTGTGAGAGGCACAAAGTGGGGGGCGGTCCTCAAATCTTCCGCAAGGTCAAGAGAGGAGAAAGCCACTCCATCCAGCGCCAAGGTGAGCGGGAAGTGACAACCGAGAACTGGGTCTCAGATGGCCATTGGCAAAGCTCTATGTACCATCCCACGGTGCTATCAAACAGACTCAGGGACTCAGCCCTGGCACTCCTGCTCAAAGCTGCTTTCAGGACACAGAAGTGGGCCCACCAAGGCCAGGCCAAAGTGAGGCTGCTGACCCAGGCCCCAGGGACACTGGGGGCAAAGTTGATCCAGACCAGCTCTGCCCACAGCAGCGTCTTCTGGCCCTAAAGAGAGGTTGGCTCAAGAAGATCCAGAGGGCAAGAGCCCCAGCCCGCCTTCTGGGTTTGAGAAAAATTAAAAAACAAATTAAAGGGCTCTTGACTCAATTTCTTTTAAGCCTTGATAAAATACAATGGACCAGAGAATCTCCCCACACCTGGCCAGTGACCAGAAGCCAGATGGGGTCTCCAGGAAAGGAAGCACCCACAGGGCAGGGAGCCCCACCCCACCCTCTGGGTACAGCACACTGATGCTCTCGAGTCCTCCGCCCCCTGCTCGTCTTCCTTCTGGTGCATCTTGGGATCCCAGATTCCTTCTTTTTATCCCAATTCCAATAACCAGGTCCTTGAAGAACTTTAATTCCTCCTGAGCGCAGGGTCCACAGTTCTCACTGCTGCAGAAAACGGCCCTACAGTGGGCGCAGCGCCACAGCAAAGGGCAGGGCTGAGGGCCAGCAGTGGGGCTACGTCAGAGGAGCCTCAAGTCCTCCACCACTCTGCAGGCGCTCATGAGCCACCAGACGAGCAGGGCTGTGGCGAGCGCGCCCTTCCCTCACAGCCGTACACCCCGCTGGCTCCGCTGCAGCCCAGCTGGGACAAAGAATCCCTTTCCTTTTCCTTGAGAAACTTCATTTTCCGATGGAACTTGGATCTGGGGTGCAGCTTCCCCTTGGGCAGCTTCTCTTTCTCCGTGTCTCTTGACCCGATTCTCTCTGATGCCCCAGGAAGGTTAAAATTGTAATCTGTTGTGACATAGGGAATTGTCCCCTCAAGCCCACGCTGAAACAGAAACACAGAGAACCATGGACACTGAGAACTGGCTGCACATGGGGCAGGGCTGGTACTCAGATTCTCCCACGTGTGACACCCGCTGCCTGCCCCCCCCAGCCCCACCACAAGCAGACCTTGGTCACTGCCCCTCCTGTGCCCACAGACACCAAGTGCTGGAGAGGAGGTGCGTTCCAAGCAGGTTAAGGCCCATGGCCTCTTCCGCCCTGGCCCCAGGCCTGCTGTCAGGAGCACCCCCGACCACGCTTGGCAGGACACCTCTAAGGGCCCCTGGACAATGCACTGTGGCTTCATCTCTCAGCCAGGTCCCACCTCCATCCCCAGGCTTGCCTGACCTAGGGCCCTGGCGCCTCCCAGGCTGTCTCACCTGGCTTGTGAAGACGCACTGTGGAATGGAGACAGCGCCGACCAGCAGGCAATTCACGCTCCTTAACTCCTCCGGAGGTACAGGGGTAAGGATGTGGTATAGCCGCTTCTCCATGTCGATGCCCCTGCAGAGCCCTTCCACACACACCCCAGTCAGACTTCCCACGAGCCCGCCCCCGCCGCCCAGCAGATGCGCTGTAGGAGCACAAGCTCTGCGTGTGCTCACTGCCGCCAGCCAACAGACTCAGAGACCCAGAACCTCCGAAATCTCCATACTGACATCCTTGGCCTCAGGAGTAATGGCTCAGGTGAGGCAGAGGCCAGGGCCCAGCACAGTAGCAGACCCAACGGTGACAGTTACAGCCGTATCCAAGTCACCTGATTGCAGGTGACAGAAGGGAAGAGGGGTGCAGAAACTGGCTCCCCTGAAAACAGCTGCTCCAGGCCACCGCAGGTGGGCAAGGCAGTGCCAGGGTTTCCCTAAGCACCACAGCCAATGGGGAAGCAGCCAACCCCCGGACCTGGGAGGGCTGCAGGTTAGAGGACACCTGCTGGGTGGGGTAGTGCTGACCTGAGGTGGACTTCCAGGCCTGGCAGAGGATGAGACACACGGGGAAGGCGCCCAGGGGAGGGAGGCCTTGGCCATGGGCACAGCGCCCTAGACCGTGTTGGGACATGTTGCCGGGACAACAGGCAGATGGACTCACCAAAGCCCACGCAGTCACAGATGGGCGTCTGGGCCAGAAGGATGGGGCCCCGCGCGTGGCCGCGGACATCATCCAGGATCCTACAGAGCCCCAGCCAGCTGGCATTGACTGCATACAGGATGTGGGTGGGGGCGACGTCAGAATGCGTAACCCTCAGAGCAACAGCATTGAAAGGAACCTGGAAAACAAATGCGCAGCTCAGCTCCCTCTATTAATGTCTATTTATAGATTTTTTTTTAACTTTTTGGTTTTGAAAGTCAGGGACCCTATGATGTGGCCCAGGCTGGCTGTGAACTGGTGACCCTCCTGCCTCAGCCTCCCAGGTAGCTGGGATATACATATATGCCCCTGAAGCCTACTTCAGTTTTCTAATTTTTATTTTTGGGACAGGATTTCACTATGCAGTTTACTGGTCTCGAACGCACTGTGTTCAAGTGACCAAACTGGCTCCGAACTCACAGCAACCCTCCTGCCAGGCTCCCGAGTGCAGGGATCACAGGCACACGGCACCATGCCTGGCTCACCACACACAGATCTTATATACCAGTAACATTTGTTGCAAAGCGGACACGTTCTCTTCTAGAGATGCAGGCGATTCAAGTGTGAGGAATCCTAAGTGAACCAAGGTGAGAACCAATTCAATTCAGAACCAAGTCACAGCCAAGGGACAGTGGGTGCAGACAGAGCTCTTGGGTGTGGGTGTGCTCCGCGTGCACAAGGCCTAGGCTTTGATCAACAGTGAGGAGGGGAGGGGAGGGGAAGAATGGAAGGAAGTAAGAGAGAGGGGAAGAGAGAAAAATAGTCAGCCTGCATTCCTGGAGCACAAGACCTGACTAACACCGAACTCCCTGGGTAATTCCTTTTGTTTTTTAGTCCTGGAGACGGGAACCAGGGGCAGTCCCAGCCCCTGTTATTTTGAGAGAAGATCTGAGTTGTCCAGGTGGGACCCAAACTTGCACTCCTCCTGGCTCAGCCCCACTAAGTGCAACATCCCTAAGGCACCTATCACCACACCTGGCTTTTCTGTGGGTGCCGCGGGGAACTGAGCTCAGGTCCCTTGCACTGAGCTGCACCCCAGCCCTCTTTGCTGCTGTTAGGAGAGCATCTCACTGTCACCCAGCTGCCCTACTTGGCTGAAAGTTGTGAGCCTCCTGCCTCTGCCTCCACCTCCCAGAGGGCTGGGATCACAGGTGTGCACCAAACCCGCCTAGCTCCAAATTTTTGAAGTGAGAAAGTATTTTGTTAGACCTATTACTTAGAAGTATATGCGGGGGTGCGGGGAGGCTGGTGAGATGGCTCAGTGGTCTAAAGCACCTACTTAGAACAAGCTTAGCAAAGCACAGGGACCGCGGTTCAATCCCCCAGCACCACATGCCAGC